CAACCAGAAAATTATTTCACTCTTTAAAAAAAAGCATTTACACTTTAAAAATTGGGATGAGGTACAATTTCCTCCTTCTTAAAGATGTTTCTACAGCTACTAAAAAAACTTGCATTTGTAAAATAGTTGATAAAAAAATCTTCCTCTAGCCCTGGACGGTTTGGCTCAGTGGATGAAGCGTTGCCCTTCGGACCAAAGGGTCTCGGGTTCAATTCCGGTCAAAGGCATGTACCTTGGTTGCAGGCTCCTCCCCAGCCCAGGATCTGTTTGGGGGCATGCAGGAGACAACCAATCGGTGTGTTTCTCTCCCATTGATGTTTCTCTCTGTCCTTCCCTCTCTCTTCCACTCTCCCTGAAAATCAGTGAAAAAAATGTGCTCGGGTGAGGATCAACAACAACAATCTTCCTCTGGATTGTGCAAGAAGGGCGACAGGGCCTACAGAGAAGACATGGTTTGTGGTATTAATCAGACTTGGCTTCTTTCTCTCCTGCTTCGCCCGACACTGGCCTCTCCTCCTCTTCAGTTTCTCCGTTTTCCGTAGGCAGATCTTTAGGGTCCTGGTCAGCCACTTGGCCTGGTTTCCCTTTGCTCCTCTTTCCCTTCCGTATGCACTTTTTTGTCTGCAGATTCATCCTTTCCTGCCACCTTTTTTGGCTTCATTCCCTTTTTTTTTTTTTTTTTTTTTTTTTGCAGGAGCAGGTTTGGCTGACAGCCTTGCTGACCTCCTCCTTTGCTGCCTATAGGGGGAGCTGACCTTCCTCTTGGGCACCATGGGGGTGGCATGCAGCTGAGGGCCTGAGAACTGAGGCTGCCTAGGACCTTTGAGAACCTGGAATGACTGGCTGCTGCCACTTCTCCAGCCACCCCAGCTGCCCAAGCTGCTGGGACCCACAATGGGGGGCAGTGGGAAAACCATCTGAAACCGGATTGGGAGCCCACTTCTCCCCGCGCCCCCCAACTATTCTTAATATTCAGTTCTGGGCAGCGTAATTTAAGATGGGCAATGTCACCCTGGCTGGTTTTGTTCAGTGGATAGAGCGTCAGCCTGTGGACTGAAGGGTCCCAGGTTCCATTCCAGTCAAGGGTACATGCCTGGGTTGGGGGCTCAATCTCCAGTGGGGGGCATGCCTCCCTTCCTCTCTGAAATCAATAAATATATGTGTAAAAAGAAAAAGATGGGCACTGTCATCAAATACAATATATCCAGGAAGGCAACGGAGATAAAAAGAGACCCGAAAATCAAACTATCTAATAACCCTTAGGGTTTAACTTGCAGTGGGATGGCCAACGTGGTAGGAAACAACATCTCAGAGATGTTAGGGAGCAGGTTAGTCAGCAGAGTTCAAGAAAACAGAGCACTCAGACAGCAGCTTTTCAAGCTCTCTGGTAGAAAGAACATGTTCAAAAATGGAACCGGGTGCTTTTGTAAGTTACTACAAGTGCTCAAAAAGAGAGGGAGTACTTTAGGTCCTCCCAACAGTGAAGGCATCAGGAATGCCAACACACTTTCTGCTTCTCTGTTCTCCATTATAAACCCATCAAGCAGCAATCTGATAAAGGCAAAATCCAGGGACTCTTACAAGCAGATTATACTGAGACTAGAAGCCCAGTGCACGAAATTCCTACACAGGGGGGTCCCTAGGCCTGGCTGGCGAACAGGGCCGATCAGGTTCCCTGCCTCTCTGCCTCCTCCTTCCGTCGCCCGTAAATGTGCTGCCACTGCGCAGTTCCCCGCCTCCCCGCCCGCATCTGCCTCCACCCACCCCCTGGTTCCCTGTCACAGCCCAGGGCCCGGTTCCAATCGGGCGATTGGGACTTGCCAGCCGGGGGGAGGGACCAGGAGGTTGGCCGGCAGGCCCCATTGGCGATCAGGGCGCCTACAGGTTGGGGGCAGCTCCTGCGTTAAACATCTGCCCCCTGGTGGTCAGCGCATGTCATAACAACCAGTCACTTAGGCATATATATCATATCTAATAAAAGAGAAACATGGTAATTAGCGTACAACCGCTACCCTTCCCATTGGCTAATCAGCAAGATATGCAAATTAACTGCCAGCCGAGATGGCAGCCAGCAGCCAGGCAGCTTAAAGCGAACATGAGGCTTACTTGCTTCAGTGACGGAGGACTCCAACGTTCCCGCCTGCCGCTGCAGGCCTCTGAGCTGCAACTCTAAGCAACTATGTTACAAATATAGCAGCTAAACAAAACCCCAGAAACCTGCTTTAGTCCACCGGGCTTCAGCCAGCAGGATCGCAACATTGTTTCAAATACAGAAGGTAAACAAAGGCCAGAAACCTGCTTTCAGCAGCGGAGGCCTAAGAGCTGGAGCCAAGCCTCAAAGCTAAAGCTGGCCCAGAATTAAAAAAAAGAAAAAGAAAAAAAGGAGCGGTTGGGAGCTTCAGTCACCCGCCAGCCTGAAAACAGCCCTCAGCCCCTCACCCAGACTGGCCAGGCACCCCAGTGGGGACCCCCACCCTGATCCAGGACACTCTTCAGGGCAAACCAGCCAGCCCCACCCGTGCACCAAGCCTCTATCCTATATAGTAAAAGGGTAATATGCCTCCCAGCACCTGGATCAGTGGAGCCGAGAGGCCTCCCGGCACCGGGATCAGTGTGACAGGGGGCAGCGCCCAAACACCCTGATCGCCCTGCAGCTCTGTGTGTGACAGGGGGCGGGGCCACAACCTCCCTATCCGCCCTGCTCTGTTCATGACAGGGGAAGGCGTCCCAACCCCCTGATCAGCCCTGCTCTGTGCCTGATAGGGGGAGCTCCCCAACCCCCTGATCGCCCTGCGGCTCTGTGTGTGACAGGGTGCGGCGCCCCAACCCCCACCCCACTGGCCCTGCTCTGTGTGTGATGGGGTAGAGCCATAACCTCCCCATCGGTCCTGCCCTGAGTGTGACAGTGGCGGCACCCCAACCACCTGATTGGCCCTGCTCTGTAGGTGATAGAGGGCAGTGCCCCAACTCCCCTATCGGCCCTACTCTGTGAATGACAGGGGGGAGCTCCTCAACCACCCGATTGGCCCTGCTCTGTGAGTGACAGGGGGCGGCGCCCCAACTCCCCAATCGGCCCTGCTCTGAGCCTGACCAGGGGCTGCACCTAGGGATTGGGCCTGCCCTCTGCCATCCGGGAGCAGGCCTAAGCCAGCAGGTCGTTATCTCCTGAGGAGTCCCAGACTGCGAGAGGGCACAGGCCGGGCTGAGGGACCCCCCCTTCCCCCCCGGGTGCACAAATTTTTGTGCACCGGGCCTCCTGTATATATATATATATATTTAGAGAGAGAGAGAGGGAGGGAGAGACTGACTGACTAGATGCCCACTGCACGAAATTCATGCAGGGCAGGGGGGGGCTGTCTGTCAGCCCGGCCTACACTCTCTCACAATCAGGAACCACTGGCTCCTAACCACTCGCCTGCCTGCCTGACTGATCGCCGCTAACCACTCTGCCTGCCTGCCTGATCGCCCCTAACTGCCTCTGCCTTGGCCCCCACCACCATGGCTTCATCTGGAAGGACATCCAAAAGGTTGTTTGGCTGTCCAGTGTAATTAGCATATTATACTTTTATTATTATAGATTATTATTGCTAAATTTAACATTAGTAAGAGCAGTTTCAGTTTCCCATGTTCCAGGGAGGATATTATACCAAAAAGGATCCTTCTTGACCAAAATTAAACATGTGTCTTTACCATAAGAGCTCTTTGCATCTTACATGCTAACACAGATCCTGAGTACAAGAGGGGGGCATTTAACATGCAGCATCGTCACACTGCATGGCAGTACTGTGTTCACACAATTTAATGATGCAGAATATAATGTGGGAAACCCTCGTCAAAGCCTAAGAGTCCAGCCTCTGCTCACAGCTTAACAGTTTTCTGATGAGCATTCACCACTGATTGCTTTTTAAAGCCCTGTCCTGTTTTATAAAATTGACTATTAGCCTTTTTTATTGGTCAAAGACCCTTTTGAAAATCCAATGCCATTTCTCCAGAAAAATTTTGCATGTGATTTCCAAGTTCCGATTAATTCCATCCAGACCCCCACTAAAAAATTCTCAAAGGAAATTTAGTTTTTCTTTTTGTTTTAATATATTTTTTTTATTTATTTCAGAAAGGAAGGGAGAAGGAAAGAGAGATAGAAATATCATTGATGAGAGAGAATCACTGAATGGCTGCCTCCTGCATGCCCCCTACTGGGGCTCAAGCCTGCAACCCAGGCATGTGCCCTGATCAGGAATCGAACCAAGTACCCTTCAGTCCACAGGCTGACGCCCTATCCCCTGAGCCAAACCAACTAGGGTGGAAATTTAGTTTTTCTTCTCTCTTTTAAGTTATGAAGAAAATAAAATCTTTGAAAATGGCAAAGGTACGGTAATATATCAGATATAAAATTATTTTTGAATGGTATCATTTGAGCAAAAGGGACAAAAAATTTGAAAAAGCAAACTCTGAAAATACAACTAATATTACTAATAGCTTTAGGTCCCTACCTGCCCCCGCTCCAACACAAATCCAAAGTAGCCCAGAATATTCATCCTAGTCAGATTTTAAACACATGAAATAAGCAGCCAATTCCAAAGTTTTACTTCTAGCTAGGCTTAAGTCTTGTATTACGATGCCCGTTCCAAAATCTCACATTTGACCTTTGTAATCTTTCAAATTAGAAACCTGTTCAACTCTTCATCTTTATAACCCTGTAAGCTCCCAGCTGACGGAGGTACACATTGCATTATGATGTTCCCTCCCCTCTAGGCCTTTCCTCCTCGTTACTTCAGTATTAGCTTGTACAGCATTTTGAAAAAAGCAGATTGTGAAACCACAGGTTAGAAATCTTTCAATCATCATGACAGGCCACAGTAAAGATATATACTTTCAAACTCTTGAAATTATTTTAAAAATGTAAGAGAACTGTCATATATGTAGGGACTTTCAGCTACAAAACTTATTTAAAACTTTGCATTAAGAAAGATGGTGAAAAATAAAGGTGCTTTAAAACTTACGTTTTGCTTCTGATAGATTCTGATTAGGCGACCAGACCAGCATGCCAAGATTGTCTCGTTCTTGACTGCGTCTTGCTAATTTGGCTTGGTAGAAATAAAAAGAGAGAATGCTTATTGTAATTTAACAGACATGTGAAGCAATGATCAACAACAGGCTCTGATCTTCTAAGCTCAGGCCCTGATGCCATCACCCACCCTGGACTGAAATCCGCCAATGGAGCCTGCATACTCACCACCACCACAGGGTGATGGGGGCGTGGAGCAGGCTCTGAAGTCCCCGGAAACATTTCTAAGTCTTTTCTTACGTTATTACTTATTTAACAAGGAGGTGTCATTTTTATCTCATACTGTTAGGTAAAGAAACTAAACAGGTCACTCAGCTGGAAGGACGTAGTCAGAAATGAACTCAGACTGCCTCGGCGCCCACGGCTTAAAGCGCTGTACAAGGATGCTGTTTTCAGACGTGGGACATCCAAAAGGGGAGCTGGTCCAAGATCCTCTTAAAACACGAATCCTTTCAGTGTGCTTAGCATACCCTCACCCTTCTCTGCCAGCGTAACTTTTGGGTGGCTTGACAGCAGGAATCCAAAGATTCCTTCAAAAATTTTATTAAAGAATCACTTATTAAAAAGATTTAACTTGAAAGGAAACTTCTGAAGTACATTCAAATTCTTAAAAATCTGTGATACAAAACAATAGGCCCACAGGTTTACAGGTACCATAAGAAAGAAGGAAATCTTGCCATTTGTAACAACAGAAATAGACCCAGAGTGTATTATGAATGAAATAAGTCAGACAGAGAAAGAGAAATACCATATGATGGTGCTCATATGTGGCATCTACAAAAGAAAATAAAGAAACAAACTCATAGCCCTAGCCGGTTTGGCTCACTGGATAGAGAGTCGCGTTGGGGACTGAAGGGTCCCAGGTTTGATTCCAGTCAAGGGCGTGTACCTTGGTTGTAGGCACATCCCCAGTAGGGGGTGTGCAGGAGGCAGCTGATCGATGCTTCTCTCTCATCGATGTTTCTAACTATCCCTCTCCCTTCCTCTCTGTAAAAAATTAGTAAAATATATTTGAGGAAAAAAAAAGAAACGAACTCATAGATACAGAGACCATTTTGATGATTGCAACATGGAAGGGGGTTTGGGAGTGTGAAAAATGGGAAGAGATTAAGAAGTACAAATTGCCAGTTATAAAAACAGTCACAGGGAGGTAAAGTAGAGCACAGGGAATATAGTCTAACATATTATAATAACTACTAGAGGTCCGACGCACGAAAATTTGTGCAAGAGTAGGCCTCCTTCCCCGAGCTGCGGGCACCGGCTTTCCTCTGGGATCCAGGGCCCGGGCTTCGCTCCTGGCCACCAGCAGGCACCCGGGACCCAGGCGGCTTTGCTCCGGCCCCGGCTTTGTCCGGAAGGATGTCTGGAGCATATTACCCTTTTATTATTATAGACTAGAGGCCCGGTGGACAAAAATTTGTGCACTCGGGGGGGAGAGGGGGTCCCTCAGCACGGCCTGTGCCCTCTCGCAGTCTGGGACCCCTCGGGAGATAACGACCTGCTGGCTTAGGCCTGCTCCCGGATGGCAGAGGGCAGGCCCAATCCCTAGGTGCAGCCCCTGGTCAGGCTCAGAGCAGGGCCGATTGGGGAGTTGGGGCGCCGCCCCCTGTCACTCACAGAGCAGGGCCAATCGGGTGGTTGAGGAGCTCCACCCTGTCACTCACAGAGTAGGGCCGATAGGGGAGTTGGGGCACCACCCCCTGTCACACACAGAGCAGGGCGGATTAGGGGGTTGGGCGCCGCCACTGTCACACTCAGGGCAGGACCGATGGGGAGGTTATGGCTCTACCCCATCACACACAGAGCAGGGCCCGTGGGGTGGGGGTTGGGGCGCCGCACCCTGTCACACACAGAGCCGCAGGGCGATCAGAGGATTGGGGAGCTCCCCCCTATCAGGCACAGAGCAGGGCTGATCAGGGGGTTGGGACGCCTTCCCCTGTCATGAACAGAGCAGGGCGGATAGGGAGGTTGTGGCCCCGCCCATCACACACAGAGCTGCAGGGCGATCAGGGTGTTTGGGCGCTGCCCCCTGTCACACTGATCCCGGTGCCGGGAGGCCTCGCGTCTCCGCTGATCCAGGTGCTGGGAGGCATATTACCCTTTTACTATATAGGATAGAGGCTTGGTGCACGGGTGGGGCCGGCTGGTTTGCCCTGAAGGGTGTCCTGGATCAGGGTGGGGGTCCCCACTGGGGTGCCTGGCCAGCCTGGGTGAGGGGATGATGGCTGTTTGCAGCTGGTCACACACCCTTCAGGGTGGGGGTCCCCACTGGGGTGCCTGGCCAGTCTGGGTGAAGGGATGATGGCTGTTTGCAGCTGGCGGGTGACTGAAGCTCCCAACTGCTCCTTTTTTTCTTTTTCTTTTTTTTTTATTCTGGGCCAGCTTTAGCTTTGAGGCTTGGCTCCAGCTCTTAGGCCTCCGCTGCTAAAAGCAGGTTTCTGGCCTTTGTTTACCTTCTGTATTTGAAACAATGTTGCGATCCTGCTGGCTGAAGCCCGGCGGACTAAAGCAGGTTTCTGGGGTTTTGTTTAGCTGCTATATTTGTAACATAGTTGCTTAGAGTTGCAGCTCAGAGGCCTGCAGCGGCAGGCGGGGAACGTTGGAGTCCTCCGTCACTGAAGCAAGTAAGCCTCATGTTCGCTTTAAGCAGCCTGGCTACTCGCCGCCATCTTGGCTGGCAGTTAATTTGCATATCGCCCTGATTAGCCAATGGGTACGCTAATTACCATGTTTCTCTTTTATTAGATAGGATGGTGTCAGGTGGGTACTAGACTTATTGGGGTGATCACTTTGTAAGTTATATAAAGGTTGTATATATACCCAAAAGTAATATAATAGTGTACGTCAACTGTAGTTGAAAATTATTTAAAATTTTCATTTGAGCTGAACCGGTTTGGCTCAGCGGATAGAGCGTCGGCCTTCGGACTCAAGGGTCCCAGGTTCGATTCCGGTCAAGGGCATGTACCTTGACTGCGGGCACATCCCCAGTGGGGGGTGTGCAGGAGGCAGCTGATCGCTCTCTCTCATTGATGTTTCTAACTCTCTGTCCCTCTCCCTTCTTCTCTGTAAAAAATCAATAAAATATATTTTTAAAAAATTTTTCATTTGGATTGCAAATTAAAATAAAAAAGTCTGACAACACTAAGGTGTAGCGATACTGTGGGGGAACTGGAACTTCCATGCAATCATATATATATGATTGATATAGATAGATAGATAGATAGATAGATAGATAGATAGATAGATAGATAGATAGATATAGATATATTAAAGGCCTTTAGAGTAAAGGGTGATATAAATTTTTAAAGCCTGAGAGAAAAATATCACCTCCAAATAAAAGACAAATCACCAGCAATAGAAGCCAGAGATAGTGGAATACTATCTTTATCGACTGAGAGGAAATCTTAGCATGTACCCTGCAAAACGTGCAGAAACATGGGCAACATGGGACATTTCACATGGACACTTATGGAGACTTTACGTGCACTAAAGAACATGCTCAGGAAAAACATCCTGAAAGGAAGGTTGATACTCAAAAAGAAAAATGAAAGTAAGTAAACAAGATTTTGTAAGCACTACCTATAAAAAATAAAATCACATCCAGCCCGGCCAGTGGGGCGCACATGAACCAGGTGTTAACCTATGAACCAGGAGATCACAATTTGAATCCCAGGCAGGGCACATGCCCAGGTTGTGGCTCGATCCTCAGTGTGGGGCATGCAAGAGGCAGCCAATCAATAATTCTCTTTCATCATTGATGTTTCTATCTCTTTCTCTCCCTTTCCCTTCCTCCCTGAAATCAATAAAAATATTTATTTTTTTAAAAAACACATGTCCAATTTAAGGAGTTTTGAAAAAGAACAAAACTAAAGTTCTGGACAATAACTAACAACATGTAGCTCTGGGTAGTAGGATCATAGCTGAACTGTTCTAAAGCTGAAAGATGAACTTTAGATGTGAACTTGAGTGGGTGGGGTGAGGAGACCCAACAAAAACTGTGGTGCCAGCCTACACTGACCGTGACTGCCCCACGGCAACAGCACCTGCCCCGAGGGTGATGAGAAGGGCATCACTGCACTCTGAGGTCTCCCTCCCCAAACCCTCAGTCTAATAATCAGAAAGCATCAGGTCCCAACTGAGGAACATTTTACAAAAACCGTGACTCATACTCCTCAAAACCGCTGAGTCATCAAAAACAAGGGAGGTTGTCAGGAACTGTCACAGCCAAGAGTTGCCTGATGAGACATGACAGCCACATGTAATGTGAATCGTGGATGGGATCCTGGGACAGAAAAAGGACATCAAGGAAACACTAAGGAAATCTGAATAAAGTATGGTTCCAGGTAATAACACTGAACCAATATTGGTTCATCAACTAACAAATGTACCATACTAATGTAAGACATTAATCACAGGGGAACACGGTGTGGGTTGTATGGGAATTCTCTGTACTATCTTTGTAACTTCTGTAAGTCTAAAACTATCCAATATAATAAAAGCCTAATACGCAAATTGTCCCCTCGACCCGGAGTTCGACCGCTCGCTATGAGTGCACTAACCATCAGGGGACAGCATGGAACATGCAGAACATCAGCGACGCGGCGCTGGCAGAGGGCGGCAGTGGAGGCACTGCTGGCCCCGATGGGCTCTGAAGAGAGCGGGACCGTAGCGGGATGATGGAGCAGGTGAGTGGGCGGAACCATGCCAAGGCAGGTGCGAGTGGGGCCTGATCGCCCCACCAACTGCCCTGCACACAGCAACCAGGGGCAGCAGGGCTGCCGCCCAGCTCCCAGGCACTGAGGGAGCAGGCCAGGAGCCCAATCGCCCCGCAGACGGTGACCAGCATCCATTACAGAGAAGTGGGAAATAGCAATATTAAAATACTAGGGGCCCAGTGCATGAATTCCTGCACCTTGAAAGGAATTGTGGGCCATGAGGCTGCAGTGGGCACAGGGGTGGGTCTCAGCCCATCCTCTGCGCCCCCACCCGGCCCCTCCCGCTGCAGCCCCTGGTCCTGTG